AAAATCTTAAAAAAAAAAAAAAAAAAGCCTCCAAAACATTCTCGCTTCCCTTCTTTCCTTGAATTAGGAAGTAGCTTCAGTCAGGGAATTCTACCTGAGCTTAATTTCTGTGTTGTTTTATCCTTTCTCCCTCCCCCTCCTCCCATAAACAGACCTGCGGTGCTAACTGCATTGTACTTCTCTTCCTGTTTCTCTCCCACAGGAGAGGCCTGAACCCCCCTCATCGCGTCAAGTCCATCTCCATGACAACTTTCACTGAGCCTGAAGTAGTATTCCTGCAATCCCGTGGAAACGAGGTGAGCCACCACCCATGGAATGGCTTACTGGCTGTAGTTGCCCTTTGGGCCGGGGGAGCTTTGCCTCAAGACTATAGAAAAACCCTACAGCTTTCTTTTTTGGTCGAGTTTCTTTTATTTTTTTAGTATATAGCATATCTCGTCTTAGGTATATTTGTATATCTGCGGAATCTTATTTATGCAAATTGTGGTTTGTCTAGGCCTTTGTTAGAGGAATGAGGGGAAGGAGCAAAATCTCTGCAGGGGGTGACTCCTGGGCACTCACAGGGAAGACTGCCCCTTGACAGTTAGAGCTCCACATTGCTGAGCATTCAGAGTTGACTGGGCTGGCCCCTCGGAGTAAAATCTCCTGGAGCCAGCTCTACCCACCCGACCCTCAGCACTGTGGGATTAAGCCCATGCCATGTACTCGAACGTGGGTTAAACCCCTTCCCCAGCTAAATCTGCAGGCGGTGGAAGGACGCTGTCCTTGTTGTTAGCAGTCCTCCTGGCTTGCAAGAATTGGCTTACTTGGAGGGCGCCAATGAAGGAAGGCCTCTGGAGGGTGTTCTGGAAGACACAGCTCTGACAATTGTCCCTGACCCCACCCCCATCGAGATTTAGTTCCCCATAATTCTCATGGCCCTCTCTTTTCTTTTATAAGTTGAGTCATAATATGTACTTATAAATCTATTTTTACTTACCTAAGGCACGACCTCCCCATTAGATGGTCAACTCTGGGAGGCCAGGGATTGTGTCTGCTTTGTAGGCATATCCAGACCCTCAGCTGTGTCTGTGCTCAATAAATATGTATTGATGAATAAACTGGAAGTGGTATCATTCCCATCCCATGCTTTCTGCCTGAACTCCTCTGTTACCTGATTCCATTCCTTTAGGTTTGCCGGAAGATCTGGCTGGGTCTTTTTGATGCTCGGACATCTTTAATACCAGATTCCAGGGATCCTCAGAAAGTGAAGGAGTTTCTCCAGGAAAAATATGAGAAAAAGAGATGGTAAGGAGGAGGAAAGAGATTGCTACGGAGACCCATGTCCCAAGACATTCTTCATCTGACAGTCCAGCGTATAGACTTGAATTGGGGCTTTTCTCAAAGGCCAGACTTGGGTTGAATGGATTCCACCCAGCTTCAGTTAGGGCTCAATTCTGACTTCAAAATTATAAAACTACCGAAAGGACAACTTGTTCCCAGTCACTAACCCTGCAGATTTGATGCTCCTCTTTTGGAGAGAAATTAGACTGCTTGGAGAGGGGCTGGGCCTGTGGGAGTGTGGGGCAGGTTAAAGCTCAGCTGGGCCCATATATGCAGAGAGGCAGCTGGAAGCACCATGTCCTAGAGCT